CCCCCCCCCAAAGATGCTCAGCAGCAGTGAATCCTGGGTGGCAGCAGCTTAGCTGGCAGCCAGCAGCCTGGGAGGGGAGATGTGGGTAGAATTGGTGGATGAATGAGCTGGAGAGGTACACAGGGCAGGGTGGGGATGTGACAGTCTCTTCTCTCTCCCAGTAAAGGCTAAAATCTGGGTCACGGCTGAGGAAGATCTCAAACATGGAGTCCAGGATGTGGTAAGTTTGGCACAGGAGAGGGAGCTTGGAGGCCACTTTCCCTGAGGTCTTGGCCCTTTACTTCCTAGGCCCACTAGGGCCTTCCATCCTAAGGGCCAGATCCTAGAAGATAGAAAATGAGGCTGAGTCTTCCCAAAGCCCAACTGCTTTTGCAGAGCGACCTGGAGAGAGGCAGCTGGGGGTCTCTGGTATAAGCGTGTCCTCCCCACGCATAGGCCCAAGATGGGCTTCTGTCTCACCCTTTTTCTCCCTTTTTGCAGGCCTGCACTGCTGCTGTCCCACCTCCTCCCTCTCTGGCCACTGCTGTTGCTGCCCCTCCCACCACCTGCTCAAGGCTCCTCCTCCTCCCCTCGAACCCCACCAGCCCCAGCACGTCCCCCATGTGCCCGGGGAGGCCCCTCGGCCCCACGCCATGTATGTGTGTGGGAGCGGGCACCCCCACCAAGCCGATCCCCTCGGGTTCCAAGATCCAGGCGACAAGTCCTGCCAGGCACTGCACCACCTGCCACCCCATCAGGCTTTGAAGAGGGGCCACCCTCATCCCAGTACCCCTGGGCTATTGTATGGGGCCCTACAGTGTCTCGAGAGGATGGAGGGGACCCCAATTCTGCCAATCCTGGATTTCTGCCCCTGGACTATGGTTTTGCAGCCCCCCATGGGCTGGCTACCCCACACCCCAACTCAGACTCCATGCGGGGTGATGGAGATGGGATCATCCTTAGAGAAGCACCTGCCACCCTGCGGCCATTCTTGTTCGGGGGCCGTGGGGAAGGTGAGTGGGAGTGGGAGTGGGAGTGGGAGAGGCCTGTAGGGATATGAGGGTGGGGAGGCTGGTTGAAGATTCAAAGGGCATCAAGAGAGGCCTTGTTTGTTAGCTCCTTCCACAAATGTGTCAGGCACCATGCTGGCACGGGAGGCAGAGATGAAGATGCGTCTGAGCCCTGGAGGAGCTCAGGTCCATTGGAGAAGACAGATGTGTAAACACTTGGGGATGTCAGTGTAATAAGTGCTCTACTAGAGGCACACACAGCATGTTTTCTAAGAGAAGGAGAGACTGCCTCTGCCTGGGGATCAGGACATCTTCCAAGAATTGACATTTGAACTGAACCTTGAAAACAGAGTGGGTGTAGTCCATGCAGAGGAACACCATGAAAGAGACCGCAGGGCTCGAGTGCAGAGACAGGGCCAGTGGTTTGTGGGTGAGGCCAGGGAAAAGATGGACAGTTCCACTCCCTGGTTTCTGTACAGAGAGAAGGATTCTCTCTGACCTTAGAGCCCCCTCCTCATCACATGTATACAGGTTTGGGAAAGTGGAGAAGGATTTGGAAGGAAAAGAGCTGAAAACTCTGGGTAAAGCTGATGAATAGAATAGAGTGGGAAGGGCTCTAAAAAGAGTTGAGCAATGCAGATTCACATTGCAGCCCTCCTCAAGCTTACTGAACCTACAGCCTAGCCCCATCCTCAGTCCCTCTTGGCTCCTACCACAATGAGCCTCCCTAAAACTTTCTTCCCACCCCAATCAGGTGTGGACCCCCAGCTCTATGTCACAATTACCATTTCCATCATCATTGTTCTCGTGGCCACCGGCATCATCTTCAAGTTCTGGTAAGCTCGGGGGAGGAGGGTGCTGGCAGATGGGAATTGAATGTTTGGCTGGAAGGCAGGAAGGAACAAGGGCAGCAATTTTGCTGGGGGTGGGATAGGAAGTGGTGAATTAAGGCAAGACTTTGGGGAAAGGTAGTTAAGAATTTGGGGTGGAGGGACACAGTGAGAAACCAGGGCACATTCCTTCTCTCAGGGAAATACAAGGATAATGGGAGAGGTGGGGGATTATTTACGTGCACTAGCTTTGGTGGGTATCCCTTGTCCCCATTTCCTTCAAGGCAGAGAAAAATGACCCAGTCTGCAGAGCCCCTTCTTAGGGTACCTGGGGAGAAGGGAGCAAATCTGGAGCTTTCTTTGCATGTATTTAATAATGGGTCACTCAGTCCTTCACACTTTACTGAGGGAATCATTAGGCTAAAGTGTCCAGGTCATTAGCTGACTTTGAACTAGAACTAAACCTGCCAAAACGCTTGCTGAGGAAATGGTTCTTCTGGGTATGCATGGAGGAGGAGGCAGTTCTGGGGGACTCTATCTGTTGGTGGGGCAGAAGTACTAATTCTGTGGATCTGGACCAGGTTGAGAAGATGGCTTAGATCCCAGAGCCCCAGGAGGGCAGGGTGGGAGAAGTAGTTTTATGGACATGCAGTTTCAGAGGATTTGGTGTAGGGAACTGTTAGAGACCAGTTTCTCTGCTACAGGATATTAGGGGTGCCTGAGGGAGGCTGGGGGTGACCAGCCCTGCAGGCCCAGAATAGGGGCTTCTTAAGTGTGTGAGAGAACCTCTTCCCTTCTGGTGCACCAGCTGGGACCGCAGCCAGAAGCGGCGCAGGCCCTCAGGACAGCAAGGTGCCCTGAGGCAGGAGGAGAGCCAGCAGCCGCTGACAGACCTGTCCCCAGCTGGGGTCACTGTGCTGGGGGCCTTCGGGGACTCGCCCACCCCCACCCCTGACCATGAGGAGCCCCGAGGGGGACCCCGGCCTGGGATGCCCCAGCCCAAAGGGGCTCCAGCCTTCCAGTTGAACCGGTGAGGGCCAGGGAAGAAAGATGGGAGGGTGGGGAAGGGAGGACATTTAGGTTTCTGGAGCTGTGGTTGGGGGTACTCCCTCCTGGGTGGGTGGGGGGAGGTAGTCCTGGCCCTCCCAGAGCCCTGGCTCTCCTTCCCAGCCTGGTCCCTGGCCCTCCCAAGGAGCCTGGACCCCTCCTTTCCGGGAGGACCCTTCCTTCTCCCGCTCTTTGTGGATCCATGTCCTGTTCTCATGCTGCCATTTAACTCCAACTCTGCCCTCTTAACCTTGATTCCCTTTGTCTTGGACTCCCCTTTCAGTTCTGGCTTACCCCTTGTTTCCTGACTATGCCCTTTCCCTCTTCCTCTCAGGATTCCCCTGGTGAATCTGTGATGCCCACCAATGTTGGGGTGCCACCAAGCAGGAGGCCAAGGGGCCGGCATAGCCACCATCCCACTAAGGGTAGGGCAGCTGTGGGAGCTGGGGCTGCAGGTGCTCCTGGCTCCTGCCCCTGGCACACCACCCTGGAACACTCACTGGCCCTATAGGCAATCCTACTTGCTCACCCTCCTTTAAGTGGGGACCTCACATATTTGTGGTTTCTGGTCCCCCATCCCCACCCTTGCACACTCACATGAAAGCCTTGCACACTCACCTCCACCCTCCCAGGCCATTGCACACACTCATGCTCTCGTTCAGCCAGTCTTCAGCACCCTCTCCCCATCCTTCTCTCCCCCCTCTTCTGATCCCTCACATTCTCCCTTTTGTTTCACATTTTTCACTTTCTCTTTTTCCCACATTCATGCTCATCTCTGTCACTCAGTGGTCAGTGGAGGCTTTACCATTCCTCTCACGTGCACTTCCTGGCCTCATGTTGTGGTGTTGTGTGTCGTGCCTACACTCTCCCTCATGAACACCTACTGATCTAGTTTTTGTGACTCCTGCATGCTGCCCCAGAGGTGGGTGGGAGGTGAACTGGGGGCTCCTTGTGCCCCCATCTGTCATGGCCCATCCTGTTCCATGTCATGTGTTTCACTGTCTCCCTCATCCCACTCCATGGGTGCTCTCATTACCCTGAGGGCTCCCCCATGAGAATGAGGGTAGTGAGGCCCTACACTTCTCCCCCGCCCCACTGCTAAACTCTGTTGTCTGGGAGATGGGTTTTGGGGAGTCACCTGTTGCACTACCTGAGAAAGGGGCTCCCATTTGCCCTTCCCTTCCTCCTAAGTCCCTTTTGTCTTATCTGTCCTGGCTGTCTGTGTGTGTATGTCACTCTCTGGAATTCAGAGCCCCCTGAGCCAGTCCTCCACTTTCCAGCCTCTCTAAGGGCCTCCCTATTTCACTGAGGCTGCCAGGGAATGGAGCCAGCTAGTTCAAGGCCATTGGGAGCTCTACCTCCCAATTTACCCCTCCCCTTCCTGGGCTCCCTAACATCTCTCCTTTCCTCTCCTTTGTTTTTCCACTTTCCCTCCTTTTGCCCCCAGCCCAGGTTTGTCCCTACTTCTCATAATTTTTTTCCACCTTCTTCTCTTACCTGGCTCCTATGCTGTGATATATATTTTTGTATTATCTTTCTTCTTGTGGTGATAATCTTGAATTCTTGTGGGATGTAAGTTTCAAAATTTTCAAATAAAGTCTTTGCAAGATACCTGTGTCCCCTGATTCTGCCTTATGAGCCCTGCAGAGTGAGTGGATGGGAGGAGAGGCGATGGGCAACCAACAGGGAGAAAGAGGATGAGCCCTGAGACCCCTCCAGACCCAGTGTGGCCTGACCTGGAGTGGGATTCAGGGGCTCTAACTTGGGACTAGGTGAAATGAAGAGAAGCTAAGGGAGCAGTCTTGATCAGGAGCAGCCAGAGCAAGAGAAACTTGAAGAATAGCTTGCCTGTTACTTGACAGTGAAGGTCAAGAGAGACCCTGTGAAAGGAGACAGAAAATAAGGACAAATTACATAGAAGGGCAGGCAATGGAACAAGCAAAAAAAGGCAGAAGAGAGAGCTGATAAGACAGATGGAGGGTGAAAGGTGAAAGAACAGAAAAAATGGAGCAATGGGAAAAAGGCTGCCCTGCTTGGTTTATTTTCAGCCATGCTCCCTACCCTGCCCCACCCACAGCTGCCCCCCCAAAGCTAAGTAGCATTAGATGCCCTGTAGCTAACTCATTAGCTTTCCCCACTCTTCCTTCTCTGATAGGGTGTGGAAGTGGAATCAAGGGGTGTGTTTGGGGGAGGGAACCTAGGCTGCCCAGCTGGAATCAGTCACCTCTGAGCCCCCAGTTCTAGGTTTGGCTCTTGTAACAGCCCTGCAAAAGCCCACATACACATCAGCATCTCAACTGTTGCTAGGCTTCGTTGCTACGGTAACCACCCAGGTCCCATTTCTCTCCCCACCCCCATCTGTGCCCCACTTGCTCCCTGGCAATGGGGAGCTCCAGGGAGGAAAGGAGACTGTAATATGCCAAAAGGCAGTCTGGGCTGTGTATGCATCATGTGTTTATCTTTGCAGCTCAAATTAGGAATGTACATGGGTTGGTAGGTGTGTGTTTTAGGTGTTGGAGAGCATGACCGTGTACTCAGGGAAGTATGGCTTAGTCCATGCAGTGCAGAGGTGAGTGGGGAGGAGGCAGGATATTTCTCAGGACCAGAGCAGTGTGTGCATTCGGAACATCAGGCTCCCTAAGAAAAAGACAGACTGCTACAGAGGGAAGAAGCAGAGTGGGGCCAAGGAGTGAGGAACCAACTAAAAGCAGAGGTACAAAGCAGACAAGCTACTGAGGAGAGCTCAGAGGCAACCCAGTGGGGCCTGAAGAGATCCCAGTGGGTAGCTGGTGGACTAGAGGGCTGAATGGAACCTGAGGGTGCAAGAAGAGGTGCTGATAGGAGGGATTGGGGGCAGTGAGAGAGGGATCCAGGAGGATGGGAGAGGAAGCCTCATTAACCTTTCTCTTTCCCAACAGGAATTTAGTTCTTCTCAGGTGTGGGGAGGGGGAAGCACTAACACGGAAGGGGAAGGAGCTCAAGTGCCTGGAGAGCACACCCAGCTCTTTCACCTTCAGCAACTGTCTCTTCAGAGGGACAGTGTGACCCTGCAGCTCATCCATATGCAAAAGGCACACTGAAGGCCCCTGATGAAGAGGGAATTAATTATTGTCTGATTAGACTGTTTCTCTAAATTTAAATATATTAAAATACACAGCAAAACACTGGAAATCCTCATCTGTTCCCTCTCCCTAAATGCCCTCTTCCCCATGGAAAGTCAGATGGGAGAGACAAAGGAGACATCCTAGCTTTCTGAGTTATCCTAAAGGGATTACCCCAAACTAAATCACACTGTCACACTAACCAGGAAGAGTCTTGAGGCCACAGGAAACAGATCATAACCTTTTTCTTTCATGGAGTTGAAACTGGAACTATGGGACCTTGGAGGTCCTCAGAAGGCTGCAAATAAGTGGTAGGGCAGAGAGTCACTGCATAGTGACAGACGAAGAACATAAACAGTGGCCATACTACCCTTTCAGTTCTTGAAGGCCACACATCACAGGCACTACTGGGACCAGCATCTCTCATCACTGTACTTTCTTTGCCTCCTGAGCTGTGCGTCAGATGACTCAGCCAGGCTTCTCTTAAGCATTTTTCTGGAATGCTTACCATTGTGGTTCAGACCAAACTAGGAATGGGGAAGCCCCCAGGAGGAGGGCTCTCCCAGGCAGAGCTCAGGGTGTGGAAGTGATTCAAAATGGTAACAGTGTGCCAGCTGGAAAACCCCAGGCTAAAATTAACAGCCCTCCTCCTTCTACACCCCACATTTATCTCTCTAAAGCTTTTCTCTAAGGAGTTCAAAGAACTTAAAACTTGCTTCTTATAGCAAGGGCAGGAGCAGTACTGATGGAGGCACTGAGGCCTAGGGAGTGCCGATTAATGTAAAGAGGAAAAGAAATAGAGGAGAACCAGGACTTATAGTGATGACTACTATTTTGCTCCCACTTTTCTATCTCAGCCCCCAAAGTTAAGATTTCTCAAATAATTTATCTCTAATTCAGTCAGCAACTGGGTCTCATCATATCTGAGCCCTTAAGACTCTTAACCTGCCAGCTGTTGCTACTGGGTTAACATGCACTGAGTGCAGATCCAAAACTGTGATATAAAGAGTAGATACTTTAAAAAAGATATGAACTATTACAAGCCAAAGATACATATCTTCTTAAACATTTAATTCAAATGTTTATTTTCAGGTGTTTTTTGCTACTTCCTTTATGTGATCTTGGGAAAAATCACCTAAATCTTCAGTCTTATTTTCATTACTTGTAAAATGGACATTATAGTTATTTTTATTAGGGTTATTTTGCTCTCTAACCAAGGGGCTGCTTCTGTTAATAGGAGGGACTTCAATTCTCTTTCAGCCAAAATGGAGTTGAGTACACAGGGATTCTGGCCATATCAGGGTGCAGGCTAGTGGCAGCATTCATTTACTCAAATAACATACAGTAGTCCCTCCTTATCTGTAGGGCATAAGTTCTAAGACCCCAAGGGGATGCCTGAAATCTCTGATGGTGCTGAATCCTATATATACTATGTGTATTCCTACACATACATACTTTTTCACTTAAAGGAATCACTTCCTGCCTTCAGAATTGCCATATCTGAATTGCCAGCATAACCACTCTTGTGCTTTGGGGCCATTATTAAATAAGGGTTACTTGAACACAAGCACTGCAATACCTCCAGAGTCAATATGATAACTGAGATGGCTACTATGGAACTAACGGGCAAGGAGAGCGTACATTTTAGAGAGCCTGGACAAAGGGATGAGTCATGTCCCAGGCTCAGCCGGATGGCTGGAGATTTCATCATGCTACTCAGAATGGCGCGTAATTTAAAAGTTATGAATTGTTTATTTCTGGAAATTTCCATTTAATATTTTTGGACCACGGTTGACCAAGTGTAACAAACAGCGAAAAGTGAAACTGTGGATAAGGGGGGACTGCTGTGTAATTATTCAGCATCTACTATGTGCTCAGCAAAGCAGTGGGAAGAATACTATGTATGAGACAATTTCTTCCCTAGGAGCTGACAACCTTGCTGAAGAGTCACATATATGAAACAGTTGCCCAGCCGGTGTGGCTCAGTGGTTGAACATCGACCTATGAACCAGAGGTTCTGGTTCAATTCCTGGTCAGGGCACATGCCAGGTTTTCAGGCTCATCCCCAGTAGGAGGCATGCAGGAAGCAGCAGACCAAAGACTCTCTCATCACTGATATTTCTCTCTCCCTCCCTTCCTCTCTCTGAAATCAATAAAAACATATATATACATACATATACATATACATACATATACATACATATACATACATACATATATATATATATATATAAAATAAAAGAAATGGTTAAAACAGCAACAAAAGGTACCGACTAAATGCTGTGGGAATTCAGATAAAGGGACCATTATGGGTTGGAGCAATCAGGGAAGGCTTCCTGAAAGAGTTCATATTGTGTTCATTTATGCAACAAATGTTAACCGACCACAAACTAAATGCCAGGGTCTGAGGATACAGCAGCAAACAATTCAAAGACCTTGCCCTCAGGAAGCCAATATTCTAGCGGGAAGAGATGGAAACAATATGTCAGGTAGTGATGAATGTCATATTTAAAAGCGAAGCAGAGTGAGGAGACAACGTTGTGGACGTGGGCTACGAGAACATAGAGATCCAAGAGGAGAGTAAGGGGTGTGGTCAGGGAGGGGTCGGATTTTGATGACTGGGGAGAGGTTATTACTCTCTGGGCCTAACTAGTGACCTCAAAAAACTGACATCCTGTCCTTAGCCGCATATTCAAAGCATTAAGAAATTCTTGAGAGTACCATATAAGAAAAAAGAACGGGAACTTCCTACATCAGCCTATACCCCCACCGAAGTAAGGGAAACGGGACCCTAGTCTTTTAAAAATCGTACCTTGATGCATAATTCATGACCCTGTCGCGATTCCACCCTCCCACTTCCCCAGAAGTCCCTTCCGGAAGCCCGGGGCCGCAGTTCAGATGGTTCGGCTTCTGCCCTTAGCAGAACCCGCCTTCACTTCCGTTGTGGCGTCACATCCACAGGGGGTTCTACCGGGTCCCCGGGCAGAAGCCACTTCCGCCCCTCCTTGGCGTAACTTCTATCCTCAGTATTCCCGGCGCCATCGGCGCCGGATGTGCTCTACCGCTTCCGGAAGTGACTCGACCTTTGCATTTCCCCCCCTTCCCCATTGCCGACCCCCGCTACATTGCTATTTCCCTCCCTCCCC